TAAATGCACCTGACACAAAACTAATCACACCCACAGAGATAGCACACACTGTACGTCCAAGAAACAACAGGACTGGGATAGAAAAAACCCTTTTAGAATTCTCCCCAATGTGGACAGACACCAAATCATCAGTTTCAGCAAACGGTATGAAGTATCAACCCTGATTTCGCCTGACAGAGGCTGAATAGATGTGTCAAAGTGCTGCTTGCTAAACAGTTAACTTCTGGAATAGAGCAGCAGGGATGGAAAGGGCTAAGAAATTATGGCTGAGGATTTAAAGATGCAGTATTTCTCTTCTTTGTTTAAAACACTACAATTTAGAGACCACCTTAATGCAGCTGCAAGTGAATACATCCAATTAAAAGCCCAAGAGTCACTACAAAAATAGTAATAAAAAAAATCAAAGCAGCACAGTTCTCCACTTTCCGGTCCATTGCTTAATTTCAACAGACTCCTCCATTTTTCAGTTAACCACAAGTTCCTGATCAGGTTTAAGCATACTACTTGCAGACGATGGCTTACAATAAGGCAGACAAGTGGCAGTTCTCTCCAAAAGTGCATGACTGAGAACATCGCTTGCCACGAGAATGCCATTCACATACCGAGCACCCCAAACAGCCCACATGCTGCCGGAGCTGTGGGTACAATCCTGGAGGTGCTGCAGAGAGGACAGTCCACACCATGGTGGTCTGGGCATTGGGTTAGGAAGAGTGCACAGGGCAATTTGTTTTTTAAACAACACCCGGAATTGCGGTAGTGCACCACTCAGCTCCCTCCTGAGACAAACCCTGTCCTTGGACACTGCATCTTTAAATATTTCTGGCTATGAACTCCTGCCACATGTTAGGAGCACTCCAACCTGGCTGCCACATGTTCAAGTGCTGTGCTGTGTGTGTTTTCAGTTTTCCTTCAGTGTAGGGGGGGAAAAGGGGGCAGAGTGGGGACAAGAGACTTGTGTTTCACAGCCAGCAGGCTCCAGCTGAAGGTGTAAGACCCCTCCAGGCAGATTACAGAAGGGAGACAAAAATAATAATAAAGGTGTTTGCTCCCTTCTAGAACATTATCTCATTCTCTCTCATTTGAAATCGGATGCAGCAATCGCAGCAAGTTAGGAAAGCCAGCAAGTTTTAAAAGGAAAGTGTTAAGGGAGACAGGAAGCTTTGCTGCCAAGTCACCTAACTGAGAAGAGCAGACAAGTCTTCAGCTTTGGATTTTTATAACATGAACAAGATATGTACAGTACTGCATTAGCACAGATCACACCTGCAATCAACTGAGTTGTACTCCAATTCTTTCCCATTCACTGCCTGCCTTTTCAACAGTCAACAGATATCACGCTCAGGAGAGCGGAGAGCACATCATGAACGTGTCAGAGTGTGTTTTCAAAAAGAACAGCACTTCAAATAAATTAAAAAGGTGCAACCGTTGTGAGAGCTATGAAGCAGCAGCTGAAAACCTTGTGGCAGTCTGAACTGTGATCCACTCTGATCACACGAGATCTATGTAGGCCTGTTCTCCTATGGGCTTCACCGCCCTCCTGAGAAGGTGAATTATTCATACGAGGCCACCCCAAGGGAGCAGAAAGCTGTACCATCTGCAGAATGGACACTGCCATGAACCTGCTAATACGGGTTTCACTTTGAGATCAGAAAACTGTTTTCTTCCAAAAAATTGTTATTTTTAAAAAACTGAAATTAATTAGGGGTAAAACACTAACTCTAGTGCCATGAACAGGCAGGATCAACTTTTTTCCCCTCCAAAGGGCAAAGAGTCATATACCATCCCCAGCTGAACCTTGGTGCTTCGAGCTTTTCAGGAGATGTTACCTAAACTTTATTAAAAGAAAAAGAACAATGTTTAAATATCAACACTGGACTAGCCCAGTCTTTTCCCAACGTCCACATTCTTCATATGAAGCACACACGGCGTCCTGGATTCCCCAAGACTGCATGTTCAGAAGTTCACAGTACATGGAACCATGTCTTTTTGTATTTTCTTGAGTTTCCCCTCCTTGCTCAGAGCAGCTATCCTTTTGTGGTCATTTACTAGATAAACCTCAAGCCATCTCCTATCCACATGGCTTGGCCTAGATGCCGCAGATTTTCTTGATGAGAGTTGATGTTGTCATGCTCTATGGATGGAAAAAAGCAAGAGAAAAAAAAAGCACCTGGTACAGGTTCCTTGAGACCCTTGTGGATTCCTCTATTCCAAAGCTATTTCTGAAAGTCTTTTTGCCGGTTTCTCAAGCAGTTTTTTGCCTATTATTCTGTCTCAGTTTGAAGAGCTGTTATTGGATGATCCAGAGGTTGATGCAATTGCAGCTCCAGCTGGGCTGCTTGTGGATACAGATTTGCGGATGTGAGGCAGCAAGTATGGGTCACAGGCCAGCTGCTGAACATCTATCCGATCCTCCTTTCGGTAGGCCAAACAACGTCTGATAAATGCCTGCAGATACCCCAAAGGCAAAACAAGAATCAGTAGACGGACAGAAACAGGAAGCTTTCGTTGACAGATAACTTTGGGCCAGTCTGACAACCCCAGCGCTGAAATTCCTTCCCCAGTGACAGCCCAGCTCCTACACCAGAAGCTCATCTTTTATCAGGAGAAAGCACGGGCAGTGGCACACGCTGCACTCTGTTCAGTCCTCAGCCTGACAACTACAATGCAAAACCACTGACCACTCTGCAGGAGGCAAGCACTGAACACAGAACTCCTGCTGATTTTAGGGAAATCAAGAAGAAGGAACTGCCCGTGCCAACGGCTGACTGACACACAGTGCAATCAAACTCGCTGCAAGATGACCTACCTTTGCTTCTGGCGTGACTACTGGCTTTGGAGGGAATTGCACCTCGGTAGCTTTCAGAATTGTGTTCTCCTGCAGAATATCTTGTTGTGACTGGTTGTGACCAAAGGGCTACCAAAAAAATGGAAGACAGTTGGTAAAGTTTGATGACAGGCCTTAAAAACCCTGTAACACTACTGTTTATCATCACTTGACATCAGCATTTTTCCAGGCCAGAAGCCCATGAATGTTGTGAAGGTGCTCTGGATTCCAGACAGATGAGCAGGACACAGTGCTCCCACGCTTAAACTGAAGGGACCAAGCTGGAATGTGTCTGGGGTGTCTCCGTCTCAGACAGGAGGGATCTCCACCTGCTTCCAGAGCTTGTAGGTCAGCTTCAGCATGTGCAAGAGGGCCTTCATTTATCTAAGCTGACAGGAGATTCACCCACTTCAATCTTTAATGGGTTGGTTCCACCCTTTATGTGACAACACTAAGCAACGCAGTGTGTTTGTCAGTCCAGGCTTTCACAACACTTGGTAACCAAGGACTCATGAAAACAAGAGTTGACTGAATTCTTTTCCTGCTCCGACCTATTTCTTCTGTTGTCATAAAACAAATTACCTTTTCTCATGACAAATCACCTTTTCCTGATCCAGACTCTTCCCTTCCAAACCCATCCTAAAAACTTCTAGAGTGGGTCTTTGTACCTACTTTTTTTTTTTTTTCCCCCTAAGTCACTTGCAGCTGACAAGCAGTATCAGGCTCAACAAAGATGTAGCGCATTGAAAGCGTCACAGAACAACGCCAGACCAAGAACCTCAGGCGTCCGGCCCTGAATGACACACTTGTCCTGCCCATAATGGCCTCAGTAGGAACATGCTCAGTGGAAAGATGTTCTGCTGAACATTGCTTTTGAAGGAAGTGCCACTGTAGAGCAAAACACTACCTAGTAAATTCTCCCCACTTCATTAGCACGGACTGCCTTGAAGACAAGGTGGAAGCACCTTCTAAGCCTGAGAAGGAAGTAGAAGCCAGAGCTGCCTCCCAAAAGGTTTGGGAATCACCACTAGGAAAGGAGTTAAATGCCTTCTTACCTTTCTGCCATACAGACATTGATAGAAGATGACTCCCACTGACCAGACATCAACTTTATTTGAAATCTTTGGAGGTTCTTTCCCAACCACAAAACATTCTGGTGGTAAATACCTGATTAGAAGGAAGTGACAAGAAGTTATGAGCAGCATCTCTAAACACTTATCAATCTTTTTCTTTATAAAGGAGGGAACAAGGTTCTGTGGACAGATATTGGCTTGGGACTCGAAGGACCCAATTTCATTCCTGTGCATCTCTGGGCCAAGATCACCAATGCATACACCCCTTCCGGGATCAGTGATCCCAAGGACTCTCCAGACACTCATGATCTGCGCTAGTCAGCACGGTCAGTTTCTTTTCATCAGAGCATCTAAAATAATCCCATTTTCTTTTATCTTCAGAACTGGTATTTGTTGTTTAAAGGGCCTGGCCAACAATTCCACAATAGAAACACACAGCCAAAATACATATTTCTACAAATACAACCCCAGATGCCACGTCATAGTTAGAGACACTCAGCCTCGCTCAAACTACAGTTAGTTTCATTTTTAGAACAAAACTGTACAATACAGAATGCCTTAACAAATGTTACTATACAACTGTTGCCTATAGTGACAGTCTGCAGCTTGAGTAATATCTAAGAATCACATTCAGTAGCGCTCACTGTAGGTCTTGCTCTCAGTCACGGGTGATGCAGTGACAACATTTGGTCCTGAGGATAAAGCATCACTGAAAACATCTTTCACATGATACTTGAAAGTGAAGCTCTGGCTGTAGACAGCACTGTGAGATTTACATCTTTTGTAAGAGCTAACTATGGATTTTCACCTCCTCATTTCAGTGTAATACTCTTTCCATCTCCCTGATGTACCTGAATTTGCAAATAGGCATGGTATTCTCCTCCTACTTGCTTAAACTGTCAGACAGTGCCATTATGGACTGTGAAATAGCAGCCAAGCTCCACTCCAGAGCTCGCTATCCCAGCAGCATGCAGCATATGCAGTTTTTCACCAGGCCCTTTGGATAAGAGATGGATTTCAAACATATAAACGCTAACTCGCTGAAAAATAAAAAGCTGCCAGCCTCAAAAGGAGCTGTGTGACAGCAAGAGCCATTTCCAGGGTCTCAAACCTCCAGTGTCTCAAGCTGTCACAGACAATGTCAGCACATACAGAGCTGACAGAGATCCAAAGCTGTTTATAAACTGTTCTTGATCTGCAAGTGCCAAAGGCAACGCTTACCAGTAAGTACCAGCCCCCTGCGATGTCAGTTCCATGCCATCAACAGAGTTGTAGCTGTCATCATCCATGATTTTGGAAAGTCCAAAATCCGTGATTTTTATCTCTCCACATGCAGTACCATTGACTAGGAGAATGTTACCTAGACAGAGGAAGGAAACAGCCCCTTAGGATATACATCTAGCAGGAAAAAACAAGAATAAAATTGCATTGAACTCTGGCACTATGCACGAGAGGACAAGGAATCTACATGGTGAGCTGCAGCAGCCTGGGGTATATTTTAACACTCAATACCCTGAGCTTCAGAGACAACTTGGCTCCCACCAAGTGCTAGAACTGATCTGCCTATCCTGGAATGACCCAACATTATTTGTGCCTCCAGATTCTGAGCCCTATTAGCCCAATGAACTTGATGCCCATGCTGTTTTGACCCCTCCCAAATGTCCCATTGGAAGGGCAGGTCAAAAAGGAGGATTAAGGAAAGAAGTACACATACACAGTTATGACTCATTCTGCCCAAAAGTCCTGACTTGCCCTGGCCTCTCAATAAGCTAGAAACTCTCTCCTTCCTGGCAGTGCTCCCCAGTGGCTTTCTAAGCTCAAAAAGGACAATTACTGCTTAGGCAAGAGTCTTTTACAAATCCATCAAGGATCAAAAAGTCAGATCATCACTGTTTTTCTCAAAGCCTACAATAAAGCAGCAGAATCATGCGTGATGGCAGTGGATGAATCACAGCTTTAGACAACTGCAGGCAGAGCTCTGCAGCATGCTCAAACAACATGACAACAGTCGCAGCTGGAGGAAGAAACAGGGTCACTAGAACTAGTGCAACAGCACCACCTCCCGCACAGACTTCTTATGCTGATGCAATAAACCACAACACATACCAGTTACACAATGCTGATGAAGTGCCACCAGTATAGGGAGACAAGCCAGGGAAAACTGCCCAAAGAGACGGCTGAATTTTACCGGACTAGGAAAAAAAAGCTATGTAGCCAAATACGCATCACTCCAAAAGACAGCACTTCCATTTTTCCCTCGTGACTCTGCCCAATAATATAGGGAAATCTGCAGCAACATTTGGAGACGACCTTCGACATGGCAGATGTTGCTGAATTCAAAGGCAGACCTGAGCAAACAGCTTGACTGTATGTCCTCAGCTTTGTGAGCTGCCACATGATATGAAAAACCCTACGCTTCCAAGTTAGTTTCTGCCACCAAATTTTCAGGCAGATGATTACAGCAAGAATAAGCCAGAAGACTGGGAACATGAAACACACTAGTAATTAACAGAATCTTTGTGAAGCAGTAACAGAAGCTCTCAACAGCAGAATACAAGCAGGACATTAAGAAACCAAACAGACACTTGGTGGTTCAAGGGCTTGTTCTGAACAAGAAGGCTACTTTTTCTGGAATGTTACTTCCTTGTTTTATGTTGCAATTCTGGGACACAATACCCTTTTCACAGCATGTTCTATGCATTTTAATTTTTTTTTGTTGTTGCAAGTTAGTTTTCCCAGACAGTCCTGTTTCCTTTTTGCTGTCTGACCAAAGTAAACTTCCCCGTGTTACTTATAACCCATTACCTTTCGTCAGCATCCTTAAGCACGTCAGCTAGCAGCACAGCATACCTGGTTTAAGGTCATAGTGTATGATGGGAGGTTTGATTTCATTTAAGTATTTTAAAGCATTCACAATCTGCATGATAATGGATCGCGCCTCTTTCTCCGACATTAACTTGTGCTGTTTCAGGTAGAAGTCCAGATCATTTCCCTCACAGTATTCTAACACTGTACAAAACCTGAGGGCAAAACAGTAGTTGTTGTAATTAAGGCACCTGATAGAAACCAGAACACTTTGTTATTGCTTGTCTGTAAGACTCACCTATCTGGTCAATATATTAAATTAAGAGTCCTCCAGCCTATTAATCCCTTTCTAAAAATAAGCTACTAGGAGCACAGTCCTCACTGCTCAGTAGTACAAAGGTCAGAGATCCCCCATTAAATGCTAGATCCAGAAGCAGAAAGCTACATCAGCTGGGGGATTTGCCCAGGCCACCAGAGAGTAGGATTTACTAGTAAAGCACCACATCTGACATAATACAGCATACTGATTTGTGCTAGTGTCTCTAGAAAACCAATGTGTGTTGAAACTGCTCAGACATCTCTGCAGTACAGTCTGTATGTAACATTGGTGTGGACATTCTCCGGACTCTCCTGGAAATTTTAAGACACCAAATACTGTGCCTGTAGTGAATGGTCAAACCAAGTCAAAGGACACAGCAATGTAACTTACGAGTCAGTATCCAGTGAAAAGTAGTCATATAGCTTAACTATTCGAGGATGATCCAGTTCTTTGTGAATTCTGTACTCTCTACACGCATGTCTGAAAATAGGAAAGTCTGAGCATTAGTCATACAAGTGACTTAATTCTAAGTTCTGCGGATAGCGAACCCAGACATACCACACAGCAGCCCAACTTCAATCAAACCCATGCACATTATTCAGACAGCTTAAGAAAAGGCAAGCAAATGAGCAACTGCGCAGAAAAGTTCTTGAGAACCACAGAATCTGAGTGCATCTCAAATGCTGGCAATACTACAAAATAACTAATCTTGATTAATGGTACTGCTTGCCAAAATAGAATAACCTCATAATAAATCGTTAAGGGATCCAAGATAGCCGAATACAAAAATCAGCAAGTTCTAGAAAAGTTCCATGATGCTCAACAGCTCAACTTCCAGGCTTCAAATTCAGCTTAGTTCGTGCCAGTGACTTGTTGCTGTATTAAGATCACAGGTTTATCTTTGAAGCTCTGTCAAGAAGGCTTGGCTGCCATTCTGCAGAGCTTATCTAATCCACAGCATTAGGGAGCAAGCGTTACCAACACCAGAAAGCTTCCTGTACCACCCTTCTAAGCCACGACATACATATAGTCCGAATCATCTGTGAAAGGATTAGGTATTCCAGGAAACAGAGGGAAGGGGAAGGCTTTCAGGGAGCACAGTGCAGGTGTGTACCCGGAATATGGGCAGGAACTACTGTTTCCCACAAGAGCAGAGCTTAGACGGTTCAGAGAGGGGAAGTCACTTTAAGACTTTCTTCCCAGAGCACTAACTGGTGCTTTAAAACCTTGTGCCGTAGTACTTATACAAAACTGTGTGTGTGCACACATTTTAAACATTTCTAATCTGACCATAACTTTTGCAAGTAGCTACTGGGACAGAGAGTGGCTTTTGAAATGTGGTGAAATGCAGAAAAAAAAATGGCAGTCTGTTCACAGGCAATGGATAACCAAATACAGGAAGAGTTTGAAACACGGCTATCTGCTTTACAGCTTTACTTACTTGTGATAGTTTTCTTTCTTCTCATCTCTCCAGTTTTTATTTAACTGGTGTATTTTCACAGCTACGTATCTCTGTTCTGTTAAATCAAATGCCTGCAGAGAGAAGAGCTGAAAATCAGTAGGAATCACAAATTCAAGTTAATACTGCAAATGCAGACAAGCTCTAACAAACCAATATCCTCACCCAAGAAATGAGCATTACAACATACTGAGTGAAGAGGAAACCCACATTTTGATGTAATTAGTTTCATTAATGAAACCAAACAACTCTGAAAACAATTGAATATTCTGTGCTTTGATCTGACCTTCCCCATGGGATCTAACTAATGCCATATTCATTCTGACATTTTACCACTAGTGCTACAATGGGATCGGAAAGGTCAAATTAACAAGATGTAGGCAGTTAATCACACTGGGAAAGACCCTGCTGTTACTTCCCCAAGCCCCCTAACTCATTTTCTACACTTAGTTAAAAAACCTCCAAAACATAAAGAGTATTTTCAATACTTTGTTTCACATTGGCAGCTCAGCTCTCCATCTTGGAGCATAACGTTTCAGCTTATTTAGAAGCGGGAGAATTCAATGACAGAACTGTAAATTTTGTTCTGTTTTTTCCTTCCAGTTTCTTGCTATTTAGATAGTCTTTAAAGAATGGACCTCTGGAACTGTGCTCTTGGAGAAATGCAGAAATTTTGTCTGAGAGCAGCAATAGCTAATAATTTATAGGATGGGGCAAAATCCTATTGTAAGCAAACAAGGATACTCTGTGTCCATCTCAAAAGTTGTATATTTAACTCTCAATGCTTAATAGGTTGGCCAAGACCCTGGAGAAGAAGGGCTAAGCACTTCTTTGTTTCAATAACATAGTTACAACTCTTAAGTATGGTCAGGTATGAAGCATTCATACCCTCTCGCTTTCATCTGTGGAGCCAAGGCTTTCTACTTAGTCAGCAAAGCCTCCAAAGAGCCATTCAGAGTACTTACATGCGGCCCACACTCTTTTTTCCCCACTACCTGAGCGGTCTAGCCCACCTAGTTTAAACACCTGTTGTTGTACTGCATCAAAATAATGAATCACCATGAAGTTTCCAATATTTGCATCGGCATAGTTATTTTCATTCTAGCCAAATTCAACATGAATTAAAAACTACTGAGTACAGATGGGGAATATTTAGAACTGGAAAGGTTCTAAGCATAGTAGTGAAATAGCGAGCACCAAAGTATCACAGGTCTTGGCCATGAAAGAGTGCTGACACACAAGCAATCCTCAGTTCCAAGGAAGTCCTGAGGCTACACACATCCCCAAGTCTGCTACTTCAGCGTGTAAGATGAAGACACCACAAAAAAAGCCTTCTACCCCCAGGAAATGCAGGCTTTGCTTTTATTATTTGAGCTATTTTCTCTTATTTACAGTGACGTTCAGACTTGCTATGCCACACTCAATAAAACATAATCACTTAAGGTATTTGTGTGTAGCACTTGAAGAAACAGTTTGCTTCTCTGTCGTGACAAAATTTGCAGACTTGGTGCAACGCTTTCCTGAAACACACATTTGCAGGAAACCTGACCTCTGAGGACAGGGGCAGAACCTAAAAATCTCAAGTCTGCTGTCTAATGCAAGCCAGATGCAACACATGCTTCGTCCTCCCTTCTTCCCTCCACAACCACACACAACATTGAGAAAACAAGTGTAAAAATGCTGCTTACTGCAACATTTCATTGCAAATTCAGATTACACCACTGATTGCCAATTCAAATTTACCTTATACACTTCACTGAAGCCTCCTCTACCCAGAAGATGTAGCAACAAATATCTATCATTTAGCGTTGGATGGTCTTTAAATCTGGTGAGAAAGACACAGCTTAAGAACGCTGACAGAAATAATGCAATCTACTGCAAAATAAATTACAGCTATGACACAACTCAGAAACAACATTTCTATATTAAGATAGAAAAATATTAAAACTGACTGACAGATTTGATGCTATTTGATCACTTTGCACTGATGAAAAGGCTATATAATGGTACCTTGATGCACTTGGAAGCCTTTGTCTTACATTAACTTCAAGTTATATTCCTGTGCCGCCACCCCCCCATCAAGTGGCATATTAAGTTATAACATCAATTTAAAAAAGATTAAGGGTTTCCCATTATGAAGGGGACAAATAAAAAATTATTAAATGTTCTTGTCCCTGAATCCCACGTGCTTACTGGGAGTTATCTTCATTGTGTATCCTTTTCAGTTCCCTGATATGTAGATTTCTAACCCTCTCTAGCCGTTCCAACTCTGCCTGGATCTCTGCTTCTTCCTGCACAAGGAAAAACCAAAAGGAAAACACAACATTGGGTAAGATAGCATTTCCGCCTGATTTACAGAAACACAAATGTAATTCCACTTGTGAAGAAGTTATTGGTAAATAACTTGTTTGGGAGGTTAAAGAGACGGGCATAGTCAGCTAAGAGTGAGGCGGAAGGTGACAGGAGCAGGCATATCTTTACCCCTTTTTGTTTTTAACATTTTTCTGTAATTAAGAAGCATTGTTGCTCTGGTCCTGCTTCTTCCCTGATCAAGGGCTACAGAGCTGTTTTTGTAGGAACTCAGCTTCTGCTAGGACAAGAGAAAGAGGACAGCCCTCAGAAGTAAGGAACAGGGATGTCAGGATGCCTCATGGGGATGGGGCAACATCCGAAGAAGATGGAGAATGTAAAAGGACAACATGCGTCCTGTTAGTGGTAAGCAGTAGAACAGGTCAGAGTGTAACTTAGAGCCATGTGGAAGTTCTGATAGACTGTTTATAACAGAGTTGGAAGTTCTCATGCCTTCAAACACAACGCTAGAATTCACATCACCATGGACAGGGTTAGAAACCTCAATTAAAACGTGCGCCTTGAGCAGTATTATTTGGTATATATGACTCAAGGGACATAGCTACCTATTTGTCTTGTGACTCTGTTCCTTCCCTTCTCAACTTGTTCTATTTTTAGGCACAAAGAATGAGCCAGTTTCCAAAAGTGGAGAAGGATAAACATGGCTTCAGACAATGCCACAATCCCAGAACATTACTTCATTTTCCATTATGGTCCATTTCCAAATGGATTCCTCTGTTTCAGGGTGGCGCACTACATGCCAGCATAGATGGACCTGCAATTAATCCATTCTAGCAATGCAGAAGCTGTAGAGCAAGCATGCCTTTAGCATACTCCTGCCATATCACTCATCTTTGCTCACAGGTCAATAAAACACAACAGGCAGAGTGCCAGCAGATTCCATGTGTGCATTAACTTTCCTTTCCCACTGAAAATAACAAGGAGTACAGTAGCGTTAATGAGACCTTGCATTCAACTTCTGTGTCGAGATTACAGGAAGAAACTAAGCATAGAGCTCAGGCACCACCTGAGAAAAGAAGGGGGACTCCAGCAATGCATTTGCATGCTTCCTCTTTGTTTTGTACAGGAAAGAAAACTCTTTGGCCTTAGCAGAGATCAGAGCTAACCAGGAAATGGCAGAAGACATCTATTTATTTTTTTTTTCCAGTACTCCATCTGTTGAAGCATCCCAGAAAATGTATTTAGAGGTTATTGCAATCACTTTAAACATAACCAACAGCTGACCATATCCTGGGCTGCATCAAAAGAAGTGTGGGCAGCAGCTGGAGGGAGGGGATTCTCCCCCTCTGCTCTGGTTAGACCCTCCCTTGGAATACTGCATCCAGCTCTGGGGTCCCCAGAACAAGAAGGACATGGAGCTGTTAGAGCAGGTCCAGAGGAGGCAATGAAGATGCTCAGGGGGGCTGGAACACGTCTCCCATGAAGACAGGCTGAGAGAGTTGGGGTTGTTCAGCCTGGAGAAGAGAAGGCTCTGGGGAGACCTTGCAGCACCTTCCAGTACTTAAAAGGGACTTTTAAGAAAGATGGAGACAAACTTTTTAGCAGGGCCTGTTACAACAGGACAAGGGGTAATGGTTTCAAACTAAAAAGTAGATTTAGACTAGATATAAAGAAGACATTTTTTACACTGAGGGTGGTGAAACAGTGGCACAGGTTGCCCAGAGATGTAGTAGATGCCCCATCCCTGGAAACATTCAAGGTCAGGTTGGACGGGGCTCTGAGCAACGTGATCTAGCTGAAGATGTCCCCGCCCATGGCAGAGGGTCGGACTAGATGAGCTTTAAAGGTCCCTTCCAACCCAAACCATTCTCTGATTTGATGATTATCTAAACATAACCTCACTTGCAGGTACAGTTCCTACTGAAGCCAATGTATTTGAAAACAAATGTGCATTACAACTACCTAAACAGTACTAGTTTCCAAAAGCCCAAGAAATTTTATTGGACTGTTACTGATATGCTGATTACCCAACGTTGCACAGAAATGGGAAAGTCAATGATGGTTGCAATTTTTGTTGTGTTCTTATAATTTTCTTCCCTTGGTCCATTCCTTCTTTCCCCATATTAGACATGCACAGAGCCCAGCACTAGGCAAGTCATAGTGACAGAATAAGAGACATCGAAACAGTGGAACTCCCTGCGTGATGCTATAACCGTAAGGACACAGAAATTTATTTATTGAGGCAAAGAACATCTTTGCCTTGGAAAAAATTATTATAAAATCCTGGCCATCCTTTTCAAGCAACATAAACCTCTCAATTATCAAACAAACAGTAGTGACCTCCACAGAGAAATGCTATTGTTCATAGAACACTATCAAAAATCTACCTAAAAGTCTTTTCTGCAGTCAGTTCTTACCTTTTTAAGATGACCTAGTCGGAGTTTGAAGATTTCTTCCTGTTCATGGTATTCTGCTAACGTTAACCTGCATAGAAGGGATAGATCCAATGCAGTAAGTTTCAACACGTGATAAAGCGAACAGTCTGCAGAACACACGTGTCCAGTGGAAGTGACAGCTACACAGAGTACATCAACAGCCAGCAGGTAATTTTTTTAGGTAAACTCTGCAACCTTTTTTTGACCAGGTTGCTGGTCAAAAAAAGTTTCATAATGTTTTCAATATCTTTTACAGCCAAAATGTGTCATGTAGGACAGAGGAAAAGCACAGTCTTATGCTAAAATAATCACAGATCCTATTACTAGTGAAAGGTAATGATGTGCTGAGATCTTTAATGTTAGAAAAATGAATCATTATACTCATTTTCTCACTACTACCAAGAAGGAGTTTGGTAAAGGCATCACATGTGAACATAAAGTTACGAAGTCCATATCAACCGCATCAGTTTACTTTGTAAACAAGATATGCATGTGACAGCATATAAATATCTTTTTTGAACCTAAATTCAGTTCAAAGCATATTCCAGGAGGATTCCTGTTGCAGCGGTTACACTCTGCATAGTACTTAGTACGATGGTTAGTGTACAAGGTCTCTGCAGCATCAATACTACAACTAGTTCGAAGAGGGGACCGAGTCCTGTGTCTGTGCAGGGCCGTGGGACCTTGGCTCACTGTACAGTAAGTTGAGAGGACGTAGTATTTAGCTGATTAAGTGTTCACCTTGAAATGCCCCATCTTCTCTCCACTGTTGATAACACAGAGGGTCCACATAATTGAAGTGCTAAAGCAGTTATTAGCTGATAAATTTAATGCAAAACTCACAAGCCAAGTTCTCTTTGAAAGAATCATGACCATAAGGAACTGCTTGTAAAGACACATACAAAACACAGCCCATACCATAAATGTTTACATGTTAGCATGCTTTTATATGAAATGAGACAGTTCACACATCCCCCACCCTCCCTCAGTGACAGCCTGAATTTTAATCGGACTCAGCTAATCTAAAAGACTGTCCCAGAAGTTTAGGTCTTTGGTTGACAATTGAATAAACCAGCAACAAGCTTTCCACATATTCTGGTGCACAAATGAAATACAGGGCTAAACACCAACAGTGTACTGTTAAGCAAGAGATGTAATGAGTACCACCAGGCTAACACTGCCCATAATAGCTGCCTGTTAGCAGCAAGCATTACAGAAATCAAAGGGGCTCTAAGGAAAACACTGCCCTGTTTCACAGAAACATGCTTGAAATACACGACTTCTAGTGCAGCTGAAGACTCGAAGGTTGCCCAAGCTGCCCTAACAAACCTCAAAAAGCCCAGCAGATTAATCTTCCTGAATGAAAAAAATCTTTTTCTCATTCACAGGCTAGAAACTAGCTTCAGGAGAGGGCATGCTTAAGTCTGCATCATGGGACCTTCCTCTCCTTTTTATGACACAGCAATAACCATGAACCAAAGAAGCAGCAAAAATCAAATGAAGGAATTCGGCTGTCCACTTCTCATTCAACTTTCAGAAACATTTATATTCAACTTCGCTAAAAAACAGCCTCTGTAAGAATGCCACAAGAAAAAACCTCCCTCCAAAAAGAAGAAAATTTTGTACCTGATATACATCGGTCCAACAAATGCATTTACAGGATAACTAATGATTAAGCAAGTAGTCAGTCAGTACAGTTGCTTCAGCTGACTTGCAAAACAATGTTTTCATAAGCTAAAACACTCCACATACACCACATCCATACACTGGCAAGCAGTTTTTAATCAAGACCACCACAAGATCATCTTCTAAACCACAAAGATAAAACCCTGAAATATATCAGCAAAGAATGATAAACCAGCAAGAAACACAGACGTAAAGACCTGGTAGCACAAAAAGACTTACTAGCAAACCCAGGTAAAGCTAGACGATGTCAAGGCAGGTTCACAACATAGGCAGAAGCTCACTACGTATCACAGACATTACCATGATTTCCAGGCACATCAAGACCTGTGCTGCCATGTCTGAGAATAAGTCACACTATAGCTGCACCAGTCTGCTGAGGAAAAACATCCCTACAGAACTGGGGAAAGCATCATCCTGTACCTCAGAAGTGAAAGGTTATCACAATGAATAGCAATGCTTCAAAATATCCATGCACAGGCATTCAATTTACTTCGCCAAACTCAATGCAAAAGGACGGCTTTAAAACTTTAGTTATTTTTAAACTCACTTGGCCAGAACAAGGGGTAAATGTCTCTATTCAAGCTACCTATTTGCAGAAAACACACAGTGCCCTCCAATACAACTGATCAGCAGGCACCAGCACCCTATTTGGGGGCACCGCCCTGGCTGAGAGCACCCTCAGTACCACAATTCACCCAGTCACGTGCCATCTCTGCAGTGACTGCAGAAGGTAGCGGGAGCTTTTGCTTCACATGCACTTTTAAAGATCAAAATCAAGAATTCAAAGGGCTCCAGGAACTCTGAGGTGAAGTCATGCTCAAGATTTAATAGTGCAAAAAGTGTCATTGAGAGTTACGGTATTAGCCAACAGTAATGACATGAAGATTGTAAAAGAAACTTGTAGAAGGTAGGGGAAAGTCTCTGACTTAACGTATTTCTAATTCACAAAAACTTCCAAAAAAATAGTGTTCTAAATTTCTTGTGAGACACAGCTTTCCTCTCTGAGGACACTGGGGCTCTTAGAGCATCAGTAACTTCAAAAGAAATAGGGAGGGGGGGGAAAAATCTTCTGTAAGAAGAAAAAGCAGCACTTCAACTACCCTTCTATTTCCCGGACCCAGGTATGTGTGAAGGATTACTTTGGAGATAAAGGTCAATGCTTATTGCGCTGTCTTTATAGATAGGATCTTTTTTCTTCAGAATACCAAATTAATTGTTTGAAAGCCTCACCAGAAAGTACATGGAAATAAGGGCTTCTAAATGTGTACAATTTTTTTCCTAAAACAACCCTAAACCAAACCACCATGCATCAGAGTGATACCAAAATCAATTCTGAAGTTGCAACACTTAAGATAGACACCATTTTTCAAATCTGATGCAACAGGAATACTGAAAAAGTCACTGCATTCAAAAAAAGTTAAGCTCATACAAAGTCCAGACTCAGCAATGATTCTTGTTTTACTCCAATGAAAACTATTTAGAACTGCAGCCAGATGTTGCTGAATGCCAGGCTAATTCCACAATATTCATTTGTGTGTGGAGTGAAGCCTAGAGGCCAAGGGCAAGATTCCATTTCCCAGTAGATATTTTGTGCTGTAATCAAAGCATGCAGCTTTGCAATGCACCAAGAAGGCCTTGTAACTTACGTTTCGTTTTCTGCTCCATTCGTCTTGTTCTTGCGCTGCTTCTGCTCATTACTTGCTGGAGGGGTCTGTCCCATTGCAGGTGGCTTCCGTTTTGCTAACATTTTTCGTTGTCTTTCTATTTCTTCCCGCTGGGAATTTATCCTTTCCTGTTGTCTGGAAAGAAGAGAGTAGAAAAAACATGAAGCACACAACTAATTGTATGTACTCAGTTGTCTTCAGCATCTGTTCTTAACAGACTGTAGCAATGAATTTCAGATCAGTTGTACTTGTAAGATTAGTAACAAAATACTTTTGTACAGAAAAGGGGGACGTGCCAAACATTATGACTCAGATTTTTTAAAGGTATTTTTACATAAAAGAGGATTCTTTTCCTGGCCCACAGAAACCTTTCAGTAAGTGAACGGTTTTATTCATGCAGACGATATCCAAAAACAAGGAGTTGCCAACCTCATGGAAAACCTACAGACCCATGGTAAGTCGCTAACTTTCCACACACTTTTTCCTAGAAGGCCCTGTTCTGAATCTCAGACTTTCCTGTTAAAACTATTCCTGAAGTCTGGCACTGTCTGAGAAAGTATCCTTATACTTCAAGGGTACAGTTAAACTATCCATAGTTCTCTGAAATAGAACCAACACCATTCCCAATTTCACTAAGAAAAGAGTCTCTCCTCCATGATAAAAAGACTATCTTAAACCATACCATTTTACAGTGATAAAAGCACTCTTGAAACATTAAGTCTAAATGACTTGAGCATTTACATACTTAATTTACTTTTTAAAAGAGACTGAAACTGCAGGTAAATATTCCAGAAGTATTTCTTCCATGTCTTACAGCACAAACTAAGGAGGAATCATAAAATCCTTAATCTGCGCCTAACAAGAGCTGCACCTCCCTATCAGACTACAGAGAAGTGATATGATTTTAAAGGATCACACACAGCTTGCTCTAATGCAATTAATTTGCCAAGTCCTACTTAAAGGTCTAGGCCAGGTGGGAATTTACTGGATATTTCCACTAGCATCCTGCATAAAACGGTCTCTGATCTTCATTTCCAGGTTTCTGCAGCCCCTTTGATCACTGTTACCAGGAGGCAAAAAAGTTAAATAGTATGGATTTTCTCTTTTAAGCTTGTCTACTTTCTACTTTAAAAAAGAAAAGGAGCCAATTAGCCTTCCTTGACTAATAATGCAACTATGCAAATCCAATTGATTGACTCAAGATACATATGAGAATTTGGTCCACCCCTCCACCCTAAGCACTGCACAGCCAGGTGCACTGAGAATACCCAACAACACAGCCTACTGCTTTCCAACTACTGAGGCCAACTCAAACAATTTGATTCCAGTTCAAGTCTCCGGAGGTTTAAGTAGAAACGTATTTCTCACTTCAATGCGAAACCATTCCCCATTGTCAGTAGTTGAGTTTCTATCTGATCCTTTCATGCATCAGTCACACCATTCTCACATTTTGACATGCAAGACATCACACACAACTGCTTAGTTTTTTTTTCCTTCTCTGCCTCTGAAGTTAAAGACAACGTTGTTTGTCCTCACTTGATGAGGTTCTGGAAGGCATAGCCATCTGTCCACTGCTCGGTGAAAGATGCCCCATGCCGCACCGTAGTGAAGTGACCTAGCCTCAATCGATCCTGCATGCTTTTATCTCTGCATGCCATCTTCTCCTGTTTTGACTGAAAACAAAATAAAACACATGTTAAAATATAAGCCATAAATTAGCAGCTAAGAGCTGCGCCATGTTTTAAATCACTACCAATTCTTACCACTTTTCATTGTTTCAGTACTACTTATCTGAAACCAAGCTGCAAATCATTGATTGGATTACTGCTGGTGCTTCACACTGGTCTGACAGGCATTTGTTTGACTGCCTCCTTTCTGACATTTCAGCCTCACCTTTCCCTCCCCATTACTGCCTGGGCAACTCACACCCATTCTATCATCAGCTGAAATCAGTCTAGTGGCAGGACTAAAACTATCCCTTTGTATCAGTAGCTTAGCTAGACTCCAGACATGGCTCTGATCAGGTTCTTATTCACTCAAACAGGAGATGAAGGAAGAAAATGCACCTTGAATCATTGTTAAGACTAAGATACAGTGATCAGCCAGCTCAGTCTTAGACTTGCACCACTCCCAGATGTGACACAATCTCAATTAGGTCACCAACATGCATGAAAAAAATGGTGGTGGTGTCAGTCACAGAGTGTTTCCGGTGAGAGGAAATTCCCAAGGCCTGAGATGAGAGCAGCAAAGCTTCAGTCAGTTAGGATTAAAGATGAACCAACCAAGCTCCACACTGGAGCTACACACCACCTATCTGAACGTCAGGTCTCTGTAACACCTAGCCCAGAGTTACAAATCTTCCCAGAAACAATCAGCCCTGTGACAAAATCAACTCAACCAGACTGCACGTACTGGCCAGCACCCTGGCAGTTTTGCCCATCCAGTGCCCACAAACAATAGATATAATTGGCCAACAGGTGAAAGAGCAATCAACCCCCCACATTGTTTAATCATCAGGAAATCTTTCAACACTGAAGGAGGCTGGATGCTGGTAAACAGCAGCCTGGCACTTTCCCCAGTGTCTTTAATGTGTTGTTTAGAGTGTTATACAAAGCAACGATCTCCAACTTTGCCATTTGAGAGAAGGAAAGGTCTAAATTACTTGCCCATGTCACAGAGCGTATCTGGCAATTTCACTGCACAACAGGATACTTCTCTTGTATTGCCAGAGCTGGACAATGTTGCTTTTCAGGTGTATGAGTTTCCAAATCACAAAATGCCTGCTGCATTTAGAGCTCAGACTATTTCACTTCAGCAGGGCAGATCACTCTGAGACCGTGAAAAGCAACCAAACCAAAACATTCTGAACCATTTCAGTCTTAGCATTACATTCCTATTTGCAGAGAATTAATTTAAGATAGAATTCCAGCTGTCTTTTATCACTACAGCAACAGGAGCAGGTTTACACTGCTCCAAAGAAGATAGAGAAGTTTTCAAAGACGTGAACTGTGACTGTAGATATGTGGAAAGTCCCCTGCTCACCTTTTCTATAAGGAGCTTCTTGCTCATTGTTACACATCTATTCAACCGCTCCTTGTACTTCTCCAGCATCTTTTGCTGTTCATCTATCTGCCGTCTCAAATCGCAGTTGGCCTAGAAGTGAAAAGAGAAGAAAAGTCTTTGACTTTAAATCACTCAGGGCCAAAGCAAGCATCACCTAGGAAGAAGTTTCTCCAGCTAGCTCTAGGCATCAGATTAAAGAAAGTAAACCAGCAGGATAAGAAAAAAATACTAGGTTCCTCTTACCAAAACATCCAAGCCAAGCCCTTCAATTTTTAACCCACTTAAAACTTAATACCCCTTTAGAACAGGGAAGTGCTATCACTCTGGTTTACATATAACAAACTAAGGTAGAAAGAGACTAAACACAAGGAGAAGGTTTTTTTTTTTTTTTTCTTTTTAAACATTTAAGACCTTGCCACAGCTACCAAGTCTTAAAATATCTTAGTCATCCCGGGACTATCCTCCCTCTTTAGTCACAATACTGGCAGAGGAAAAGGATGGGGTAAGCCACTTTTCACTTTCAATTAAATTCTTGTTCGAGTTACTATCCATCAGCTCTGCTATACAGATAGCTCCTAGCAACAGCTACGGTTTTTAACACCACCACAGCGTACAGCAGGATTTTACGTGCAACCATTTTCATTGATAAAAAGTTACAATTTAACCATCCTCCTTCCAACCAATAGTCCGGCTTCTGATTAAACAGCAGATGTTAAAAAAATAAATCTATTTCTTGCTTCATGGATTTTTTCTACAAACCCACATGTGCCTCTGTGTATGTCTCTATGAGCTCGTCTCAGCTCTTTTAGTTGCTGAGACCAGACACTCACAGAGAGCCTTCGCTCTTCTCCCTTTAATGTGTTTTCTAATCCTTTTCAACACTTCACAAGAGATGCCTCTCCAGCTGATGAAAGCTAAATCAATTAGAACTCCTCCATTAAGACAAGATCCTTGATTTAAAGGTATTTATCTTTTACTGAAGAATACTAACGGGAATTCTTTAGGCTCGACTGAAAGATATTCTCCTCACCTCTATACATGCCACTGACTCATGAATGAGCATTTCAGAAAACACACTTCCAGTCTACGGAGAGGCTACTGAACATGTTACTAAACAAAAAGCAGTCAGCTCCTCAGTATTTAGAAGAAGGAAATAACTGTGAAGAGAATCAGGTTAGGTTAGGTAGGGAAATATACAAAAAGCGTGCAACAGATCAAAGAAACACCAACACACTGCTGAGGACACAAATACCTGAGCTACAATAACTCTGCACTGTATAGCCACAGTCACTGCTACACTGCTTGTGGATTCAAGTGGGCTCAAACAGAGCATCTACAAGCCAGACAATTATCTTGCCAGTAAGGGATGACTGGGTTCGTTTTACCTTGTAAGTGTTGCTTCTACAAATGGTATACAAAATCCTGCTCTGCAGCTTAGCTGGCACGTGTGTTCTAGGTAACTTTGAGTAGCAGCTTTTGGAAAAGTTGCTCCACTTTAAATACTTACTCTTAATAAGTCATCTATCCTCCCCTCCTTCTTCTCCAAGTCAGAGTTCTTACTGTTTTCTAGTGCAGATATTTTTTCCATTGTG